CTTTTTCCCCTGAGTCCCAGCAAAAGCTCCCTATTCAGCCACGCTGTTCGTCTTCCCCGCCAGTTGGTCTTACGACACACGGGGACAGCCCGCTCCTGCGCCCTTAAGACTTCCTTCTTGAAGAAGGCCCAGCCTTCCTGGACCCCTTTGCCCTTCAGGACTGCCTCCCAAGGGACTTTCCCAACCAGGGTTCTGAACAGGCCAAAGTCTGCCCTCCGGAAGTCCATGGTAACAGTTTTGCTGCCCCTCCTCTTTACATCGCCAAGAATCGAGAACTCTATCATATCGTCGTCACTAAGCCCTAGACGGCCTCTGACCACGCCATCTCCAACCAGCCCTTCTCTGTAAACAGCAGGTCAAGCGAGGCACCTCCCTGGTAGGCTCGCTTCCCAGCTGCGTCAGGAAGTTATCCTCCACCTTCAACTCCCTCCCCACTTGCCTGGCCCTCAACTTCCAGAGCCCCATATCTGTTATGTAAGGGCAACTGGGAAGGTGAGGGAGGCCGGGAGGGGATTCGCCTGCGTCCTCAGGCAGGGACCTGTTTCCATTCCCCCCCCATCTCTTAGGTCCCCTCCTTCTGCTTGCCGACAAGAGGGTAGGGGATCCTCCACTCCTTGTGGTGCCTCTGCCTGCTGCCTTGGCCCCAGGGATGGTAGGGTGTGGCTCCACCATAGAATCATATGTTGTTGGGGATGTGAATGTGGAAGAACAGGCACACAGTGATGTTTCACTCCTTTAAGTTGTTCATACTCTAAGGAAGCTTGAGGGCTCTTGTACAAAAGTATTTAGCAATTAACAATGTACAAAGTACTTTTATATAATGCTTTAATTTAATATTTTCTTCTCTCAATTTAGGATGAAGGAATGAAAGCAGAAATATTTAGGCTACGTAAGAAACTGTCCGAGCAAGAGAAGAAGTTACATAGCACAGTGAAACGCCTGCACTCCACAAACCAGCTGAAGGAAAACATGGAGAAAGTCATCATTGACCAGTGTAAGTGTATGCTTTATTACTGGTTCCTTTTTTTATTTTTCTAGTCTGTAGCTACCTCTAAAATTGGAGAAACAACAAAATGAATATGGGCACCTGTTCCTTTGCAGTTGCTCTGACTGGTGTTTCCTTGTGCACACTCAGTTGTTAGTGACAAACAATTCATGAGGTTCAGACCGTACAGAACTGGTGGAGCATCATTCAAATGGAAAGAAGTTGCCCAACCACAAAAGGCTGCATAGAATAACTTGAGAAGCAGTTCTTGGTTTTACACAACCCACTGATTATGTGTCAATCCATTCAGCTGCCACTAATTGAGTTACTCCATTTCAGATACTGCCATTCCCCAAGTTTTCTATCCTACAACAGTTCCTGACAGAGGCAAAGTTACTGTTGCTGCAGACCATTCCAGCCAAAGTTTTTGACATTGTCCTTCTCAAAATTGCGATTTTGCCTCAGTCTTGATAAATGTGGAATTAGGCGGTTAGATTTTCTGAGGTGCCTGTCTGTATTGCACTAGATGACAGCTGAATATTGGGAAAAGCCAAAGCAGCAGCAAAGGAGATTTGTCAACGCTCTACGCCAGACTGAGAAGTGCAAGAGAACAGAAGGCTTAGAACAAGGGAAACAAACGCTTACTATGAGTCATTTTTTTAAAGAAAAATTTGGACATGCTGTGAAATTATATTTTACCCTTAGCAGCCGTATCTAGAAAATTATGTGGAAACATGAAAACAAGTGGGACATGAGCTATACTGTAGCTGTGTTAAGCCAGGTGACTGTTTTAAAAGATCTAATCACTCATCAGGAGAGATTTGAATGGAGCTAACCTCTTCTCTACCTTCATGCTATGGCAATATGTGTATTGCGGGAGGAGCATTTAATGTTCTTCTTAAAAAAAAAAAAAAAAATCTATCCTTACCTCCTCTTAAGAGGTGGGGACTAAGTGACTCATTAGTCCATGCTGGAACAGCACTTGTATTATCAGTAATTCATCTAGACCGTACAATGTTACACATCATACCAAAGTTATGAAAATGGCCATAATACTATAAGTTGCTCAAGTCATTTAATTGCAGTGTAGAGGAATAAATGTTATTTTGGTCCATAGCCTGTAATTTTCGTATCTAAGGTACATGTATGTTCAGCCTGCAGATTACTTTTTTTAAGCACTTATAGGCTGCGTTTTGGTCACTTTTTTCAGAATTGTTGTATTAAATGTATACAAGTTACTTATGTAAATCCAAAATTATGTTTTGTTCAGGTTTTAACATTAGCCAGTTTGGGGTTGTCATATAAAAATCAAGGCTATTCTATCATGTCTGTCCAAATAATATCCCTGGGGTAGATTTACTGGTTTAGTTTGGTCAGTTCCTAGTTCCAGTGACATCATAGGCATACTGGGTAATTTCATTAGGCCTGGGCAGAGTGTAAATCAGCAGAGATTTTACCCTTATGGCCAGAATGTTATCCCCACAGCCGCTCCACCCACCCATACTTTCAAAAAGAAAACAGTACATCTCCCCCTTATTTTGTTCACTCCTTTTCAGGGCACTCAACCTCATCTGAACTAGGACCTAATAAAATGAAACCTGCATTTTCTGAAATCTCCTTAATGCAAAGTACTGCCTAGCTAGCAGCAGCTTTGCTATTAGTGTCACATCTTCTAAATTCTCTTCATGTACTGAATTTAATATTTTTGATTTAGAAAAAATCTAGTTTGCCAGGTGAAATGAATTTACTAGCAGAGTTCTTTATGAGCAGAGAGCACTCTGCTACACAGAAAGACCTAGATACGATTTTCTGTAAGTTTCATTGATTATGGGAATTATGGATGTCAAGTTACCTTTGCCTTAAGGAGCAATTTCAGAAATGTTTCTAAATTGCATCTGTACGCAAATTCCTGACCAAGCATACAACAAAACTGGTGGATCGTATGAAGCTGCTGGATTTTGTGAGGATGCTTACACTTGTTTTTGTTGTTTCTTCCTTTCTCCTTTTGCTAGTAAGAAAGCAAAGGCATCGCAGTAGGTGACCTTGCCTGCCTTCATTCTCCAAACACCCTGTTAGCTGGCCACTCCACTGAGAATATTCAAGTTCCCTCTGTTATTTAGTTGGGCATTCCGGAATATATTTAGAGACAGAGACTGGAACATTCTTGTGGCTCCGACTCTTCTGTGTGCTTTCTCTGGCGAGAGAACTCATTGCTTATAAACCTCATCTGAACCTCTGAACATGTAACAATGCAGTGCCAAATTGCAGTAATCTGCCAAGGGTATAATTATCTCATGACAGCTATACCCTTGGAGTTGCTGGGTTCTTATTATTGTAATGAAAAATCTTTACTATGGCTAAATTGTTTATTTTTGAGACTGGAATATTAAATTGGTACTTGTGAATGGTATTTTTTAGCAGTTATGGAACTGACACAGATTACAGAATCACATATTTAACCTGACATTTCTAAATACCAGTTTTGTTTAGAAGCATCCCCGCCTACATTCACAGGTCTCGGTCTGTCCCCACAGAGGCAAACTAGCTGGATGAATAGAGAAAACTTGAAACCCTTCGGAGCAAGCCCCTGACATGGCTTCCCCTAAGCATATATAGGTTGCTTTGTACTTGAACTGCTGGCGGAGCCGGCTGACATTTTTTGCCATCTGTCCTCTTCCCAGCCCATTGTCCCCCATAACCTCTCCACTGCACCATTTTTCTCCCTTCCTGCTAACTGCCCCCTGGCCCCAGCCCAAGTAGGCTACCTAATTGATCAAACTGTAGTGAGCTCATTCACCATCTCCTCTTAAAATTAACAGAAAGTCTTCCTTTGATGACTTTTAGAATAAGGGAACCAGGGCATCAGTATCTCAGGGGGCTGTTCATATCTGTGTTGTTAAATGTAGTGATGAGCTATGCGTGTTTTCGCATGTATTGTTCTTGGTATGGTAGAAAAACTTTAAACACACTTCCCTGATGTTTCAATCTGAAAAGCAGATTATGTGCTGGATGGAACATAGGCCGGGGGGTAGGAAATGGCATTCTCGTGGTGGCACTGATTTGGACCTGCCCTGTGGTCCTGAGTGACAACTCCTGCTCTTCCCTAACTCTCTTTGCTTGTACAGCATTGCCCCTTAATTTTGGGTTGTTCCAACTGTTGTTTCTGCCTCAACTTGAGCTTCTGAACAGGATTTGGGAGGGAGTAACAGTTCTGGATTTTGGTAAGACAGTTGAAGTGGTGGTAGGGGGGCTGTGTGTGATTGCCTGGTTGCTGCCCGTGGTGTAGATGTGAGTTCATACATTATTTAATATTTGGTCTTAAAACTTGAATACAGAGAATATAGAAAGACACTGTAGTATTCTTTTTAATCTCCTCTTCTTTTCTAGTGGTTTTAACTCATGATGTCTTGAAGAAGGCTAGAGGAAACCTGGAAGTAAGTAAAATTTTTGTTTACATTTAATTCCTTGGTCTATACTCATTAGAAGTATGCACTGCTGTGTCAGTACTGTTTTGCAGAATTAGTCTGACTTGCTTTAGGTTTGCTACCTAATCAAGTCTGGGTGACAGCAGTTTAGTATGATAAATATTCTACAATGTTTGATGTTTAAATTAGAGTTTTATGACTGACCACATAAGCAGCTAAACCCTCTCCTTTCTGATGCTTTCCCTAGATTAATATTCATGTCTGTCATCTTCTTCCAGTAGTTTATTTTCAGCAGATCACAGTCCAATAACCTGTCTACTGAATAAGTTCACAAAAGGCACCCGTATTTAAAGCTTGTGTATGTGTTAATAACTGGTGGTGCTTTTTTTTTTTTTTTTTTCAGATATAGACCCAACAGGCAAAGCTTTTACAAACAGCTATTTGCTAATGCAGTGTATTAAATTAGTTTGAGCGTTTAAGTAATCACTGTTCAGATTTGATTTCTCCCAGAAGGTTCAGACTTTACTCCTAGAAGGATGGAATACACTTCTTGACTCCTAAACCCCATCCTTCTCCTCCCACCACTCTGATCTGAATGATCATATGTTTCCCAGGCCCTCCTTAAATTTTCCTCTAATCGTTTCTGCGAATCTCTTCTCCCTTACTCTCAGCAGCAGTGCCTTCTCAAGCACTTCCCTATGCAGCTGCTGTACGGTTGTCTCAGCCCTACCTGAGTCAGAAAGTGAGGATATAAAAAAGTCTTTCTGCTTACAGAAGTCTTATCACTTTAATTTGAAGATTTGCTGAACACAGACACTCCTATTTGCAGATCCTTTTGCAGCATTATGGCCCAGGAGTAGGGACAAATGTGTGTGCATTTGAAGTACTGTAAAATAGTAATAATTACTGCTTTTCTAACCAGCTCTCACCAGCTGAGAATCAAAAATCACCTTCCTGTACCAGCCAAAGAAGGATTCTCTGAAGGAGAAAGTTCCACTACTAAAGACTGGTCCTTTGATTGTTATTTGCTTCTTTATGCCTTACTATTTATTGATGTAAAAATGTTTGTTTAGCTTTTTTAATGGATCAGCCTTTGACCAAAAAAAAAAAAAAACCAACAGAAAAACCCTTTTGGTAAATAACTTATTTAACATTTTCTGTAACGTAAAAGATGTTTTTTAATATTTATTACAGAAGCAAGGTACGGGAGGTACTGAAGCAAAATCCAGAATTTTTTTTTAAAGTTGGCTCATTTGAAATTTTATATTTGTACTTGTCATGTTATAAAAAAACCCTATTTGTTGTTATAGTCAAACAGGACCTGAAAGAATCAAGAACGTGATCCACCTTTCAAACTGTTTCTATACTGCTAAAAGAATGTAGGTTAAAAAAAAATTTCTGCCAGTTGTCAATTGTTTTGTAGCAATATGAGAAATGTTCAATATTTTAAATGTATCTGGAAGATTCTTCTGGAAGCTGCCTGATGCTGAGCTTTCTTATTACTCTGTTAGAAACTTAGATTGATGCTAGGTCTGAAAATATTACTTATAATCAGACAATTAAAATGAAAAATAATCACAAATGTGTTTGTGTTATTTTGTTTGAAACATCAGACTTTGAGAACTTACTGAACAAAGAAGCCACAGTAGAGTGTTTGTTTCCCAAGTTCACCTAAAATTAATCTAGTCCTTATCGGCAGTGTTTGCAAGGTATGGTAGAAGCACTTGTCATGGCTAAGTGGGGGTGTTGGAAACTTGCTTTCAAGAAGCCGTAACTGAAAGACAAGGCTGTTGGCAAAACCGTAATGTCATCCCCCGTCCCGGCTCACCCTCCCCAAGGTCTGTACAGAGAGGACAGAACACCACACCAGGGATGCAGCCAAACAGTTTTAAAATCCATTTTTCTGCTAAAACCTCTGAAAAAATGTTTCTTAAAAACCCATAGTAAAAGATTTATTTATCTCCCGTGGTGATACATGTAATAGTGATATTTTGGCCAGGCCAGAGAACACCAGCATAAAACATGGCTCGTTGTGCTCCCCTTGTGCTCCACTCATACTGCCCTGTGCCTTTTCAATTTTGCCTTCAGTTTGAGCTGCCCGAGCACTCAGTTTCACAGCAGAGCTGACTACCTGCAACCTGCTCTCAGTGGCACAACGTGAACTGGGAAAACAGTTTAGTTTAACCCTAAGACAACCATAATTTAGAGTGATTGTTGGTTACAAAAGTAGACTTTATGGTGCAATCATGGCTTTATTGAACTAAGTGAATTTCACACAGTGTGATATTCCCCCCCCACCCCCCCAAGCTGATGATGTCCCCATTATACAAGATAACTTGCCCTTGTCATCCAAGAAGGTTAGCACTGGGCCTGGGAAATCTCAGCACGGAGTTGTGGTTATACTGGGTCCTTGGATATTGCACTCTAGAGACTAACCAACATGTAATAGGCTTTCACAAAAAATGAATTTGTGCTCATTGAAACATGGCTGTGGAAATCGGTAGCTATTACACCCACGGAGCTGGCAAAGAGCCAGAGGCCCTTCTCACTGGTCTGGTAGTACATGCACAACACATAGAGGCTAAGACAAGTCCACATAGCTCCCCTTGTTCATTCAGATTAGTTTCCCAACAGTTTGATGATACTCGGCTAACTCTGAATACCACAAAGATGCTCTAAATCACTTTGCTTCTAAATTGCAGCTTGATATTAACTGGTCAGAGCTGTTGCATCCTCCCTTTGGGCAGACCTGCACTCCTGAGTTCTGGGTGGTTGCCAGTACGAGAGCTGGGTATTACATGGGTCACAGATAATCTGGGCCTTGGCCCTGGTTAGCGGGATGGTCTGTCATATTCCGTACTCCCACACAACCATCGTGCATGTGAGTTTTTAATTAAAGAAAAACAACATAAAGACATGCACATTTCCGTGGTCCCTGGTATGACCCGTTTTTTTGCAAGTTCACAGCAATGGGCCTTCTCTGAAGTATGAAAATGGATTTAATGGGAGGTCCCACAGCCTTCCTGGAGGTGTCATGCTCTGAGAAATGTTATGTGCCTTGGAGATCCCAACCCACAGTCCTTACCTGAGTTGGCCTGAACCTCCATCTCAAGATATGGCTGCTGAGTACTTGCCCCTCTAGTCCAAGGGAAATGAAAGCTCAGTAACAAAACAGCCTTGTCTTTAGCTGACAGCAGGGGGAAGCAAACTCATTTGCCTGGATTAGAGGCAAGATGCCAGAAAAATTGGAAAAGTTAAAAATAAACTTTGCAAATTGAAAAAGGGGGAGGTAAGGGAAGAGCATGCAGTCAAACTTGTTCTTCAGTCTCTTCACACATTATTGTCCTCACAGCTCACTAAAAACGTCAAGTTAATTTTACTAAGTAGCTAAATTATAGACACTCAGATGTAATCAGAATCTGCTATACATTTCAACTTTCAAAATTAATCATCCTACGTTTTTGAGTTATAACACCTGAAGGAAACAGCTGTACATCTATATATAGTACACCCCTGTCTCTTGGTCTTCTTGCAGCCTTTTCTTCCCCCCACACCATCTGTACTTAAACATAAATAAATAAATAAATTAAATGTTTCCCTTTCCTGAGATGATTTTCCACTTACTTCTTAATGGTCCCTGCTGTGCCCTCTCAGAGCTCTTCTCCTGACCCCTTTTTCCTTCTGATCGGCTCCGATTGCTGCACCCAGGTCATGGCAGAGCGTGTGCCTGTGTGTGTGCTGGGCAGGTCAAGGGGACACAGTCGCTACTGAGATTTGGTTAGCAGGGGCAGGGATGTAGTATATCATTGCCTCTTTAAAAACATGATCCTGCAAGATCAAAGTGTTTCATCTTAATGAGAAGTGCCTTTTAAACACACAATTTACTGGGCCGGTTTAAAAATAATTAAAAAAAAGAGAAAAGCTTACCAGATGGAAGGCTGCAGAAGACAAAGCTTATGGAGTGTTAAACTTTGTTCCCATTAAACAAAATTAAATTTTCCTTTAAAAACAATTACGCGTGAGAAAAATAAGCTGCGTAAGCAAATGGAATTAAAGGAGGGGCTCATTTGCTTAGTGAGTTCCTGCCTGTACTTTCATTATATGTGCAAGGTGATTTGAAACATTACTGAGAATGTAGCTCAGGAACGAGCATTCGAGTCGGTAAGGGGAGACCTGCAGGTCTGTTGTCTTTACCTGTGACCTTGAACCTCTCCGCTGTTTTCCCAGGCCTGCAGGCAGTGGTCTTTCTCATATAGGATGCTGAAGGCCAGTTGAGATTAAGGAGAGAAAGAGGGAAAAAGAAAAAAAAAAAGAAAAAAAGAAAAAAAAAAAAGCTTTTTCTTTCTCTTTAGGCCATGTGGAGCTAGATCAGAGCCCTGAATAAAGGAAATATTTAGTGCCATTGGGGGCAGAGCAGTGCATTACAGATACACACCAGTACCCGGTGCTGCAGGCCAGCCCCGCGACACCCCGCAGCTTAAGAACAACATTATAATTACCTCTGCCAAAGAGAACAAATAGAAATAATATTCAAAAAATCACAGGTGGTTGGCTGTATTAAAAATAAATCAATGCTAATGCATTCAAGCATTTAAAAACAAAAGCGCAGCAGATCTGTGTGGTATTTTAATCTTGACAAAAGCTGCCAGTTCCATTTTTGCATGGGAGCTGGTGAGGTTTTGCGGGATGCGGTCTGCTGGGGCGGAGAGGGATGGGTCCTCACGGCGCTCCTGGGGGATGGACAGGGTTGTTGTGGGGATGGGGCAGGGCGCTTGCCACCAGCTGTGTCCTGAAAAGCCGAGCAGAAGGGAACGCGCCCTCTTTACGTTTGGGGTTTATTTTAAACACTCCCGAACTAGATGGAAAGCAAATCCTGTCATCGCTTCCAAAGTCAACAGAAATGGCAATATGGGAAGAAAAATATAAAAAGAAAGCAGCAACACTCTTTGGAATTCTATTGACAGCAAGATCCCGATTTACAGGCAGCCAGAGCCTGAACCCACGGACACAAGCTGCGTGAAGCTGTGGGTTCCCAGAGCTTTTCCACCCCGGGGCGGGTGTGGGCTGTGGGTTAAAGCACGAACCTGGAAGCAGGCACATGGCTTTGCTGTGAGCAAGATCGCCTGCGAGGTCAAACCACTCCAGTGCAAAGGAGCCCATGCTGCCGTGCATATTAAAACCCTCTGACGCGGCCCAGCAGCCGCTCCCAGGTAGCCGTGCGCAGCCATTTGCGCCTCCGGGCGCGGGTTCTGCTTCTGGCGAAGCGCTTTTGGCCTCTGCCCGTTGCAAACGCTTGCAGCCCAGCAGAGCCGCATCGCGGGCAGCATTGCCCTGGGGATGCCACGCTCCGGCCGGGCCCCGCAGGCTGACGAACTCCGACACGAACCTTTACGTATCTGCAGTGCACTCTGCAAAGCCTGGCACCCTGCTCTCATTTTCATGCCTGTAACAACTCGTAAAAAAGCTGCTTGAATGGCAGCGATACCACCGCCTCCCCACCCCGTTTCTCCCCCCGCTTTCCTTTCCTGACCTCTTCCATAGAATCACAGAATGCTTTGGGTTGGAAGGTACCTTTAGAGGTCATCTAGCCCATCTCCACTTTAGTTCCCCAGGTCCATTTTTGAGCCTTTCTGGGACAGCCACTAGATGGCAAAAGCAAGTTGTGCTCGCAGAGAAGCGGGGCCGCAGCTTTGGGAGCCGGCGTTGGCCGAAGCTGTGCGGAGCCCAGCACGTACCTGCAGCCACGAATCATCCAGCACAAAGCAAATGAAAAAAAAAACACCAAAAAACAAAAAAACCCAAACAGTCTTAAAACGTGCCCTACATTGAATTATAATGATCCAGAAACCACTGGCGTTATAGTCAAGGTGCGATTATCAGCACGTTTGGTGTTTGCTGAAGTTTTGGTGCTGCCCTTTGCCTGCCGTAATGCTCCCCTCGAGGCAAACCCCCCCAGTCCCTGTTCAGGGGCTTTGGCTTCCAGAGGAGAAGTGCTCAAGGGTGCCTCACCCTTGGCAGGGTGCTGCAGGCAGCCCAGCACCAAACCACCTCCCTCTGCTCGCTTCAGCGGCCCTGCTGGGGCGATGGGCCAGCCCTCACCTTGCAGGGTGAAGCAAAAGCAAACCAAACCCCCTCTGCTCCCAAAACGCCACTTTTCTCCGCCACAAGGTTTGACACTGAACCCACAGCTCAGCGTCAGGGTTTCACACTATGCACCGACCGCGGTGCATCGCTCCGGAGGGAAGTGCTCTCCGAGCAGGGTAGCGGGCTGCTGCCTCTCCTGCCATCCTGCAGTGAATAATTCAGATTTGGCAGGGGGCAAAGCATGCACACATGCTGAAGGACCTTGGTCGCTTACTTTATGCCTTTTTGCAGAGGGAAAGGCTGTAGCATGTTGCAGAAAATACCACTTGCAGGGAGGAGAGGCCGCATCCTCTGGCTTCTCCAGGCTGCAAAGAAGCAACTGGCAACAGTGGGGGAAACGAAGATTGCTCC